ACAATATGGGTCCAAGGACAGAGCCTTGGGGGACCCCACTGGTCACAGGACACCATGATGAGTGGCTTCCATCTATTACTACCTTCTGGGTCCGACCACAGAGCCAATTTCCCAGCAAGCGGATCGTGGTGGACCCAAGGCCACAACTGGCCAGTTTCGCCAAGAGGTGATCATGGGATACCAGATCAAAGGCTTTTTTGAAGTCAAGATATATGACATCAATCTCTTCTCCCTTGTCCAGGTGATAGGTCACCTGGTCGTAGAAGGAAATGAGATTGGTCAAGCAAGACCTACCCACAACAAACCCATGCTGGCTAACTCTTAGGATGTTGGCGTCGGCCAGCCCATTAACGATGGCCTCTTTAATAAACTTTTCTAAGATCTGCCCCGGGAAAGAAGTCAGGCTGATGGGCCTATAGTTAGCCGGATCCACTTTCCTCCTTTTCTTGAAGATCGGCACCACATTGGCCTTCTTCCAGTCTTTGGGCACTATACCAGAGCGCCAGGAGTTTTCAAAGATCTGTGCCAGAGGCTGGGCTATGATGCTTACCAGCTCCTTGAGTACCCTGGGGTGTAGATTATCAGGGCCGGCTGACTTGAAGGTATCCAGCTTCTCAAGGTGTTCCTTCACGAGGTCAGAATTAAAGGAGGGCAGGGGATTTCCCTTGGGTGAGGGAGATCCCCTGAGTTGATTATTCCTCCTGAATTGCAGCACCATGCATTTGTCTGCTTTGTTAGCTCTAGCCCAGCTTTCCAGTCTGTCAAGATCCTTCAGAATTGTGCATGGATCTTCCAAGCTGTTCACAATCCTTCCCAGTTTTGTGTCCTGCTGAAGAAGCTTTTTTGTGTCTTGCCCTGCAAACTTGCTGAAGAAGCTTCCTATGCTAGCATCCAAATTGTTAATAAACATGTTGAGCAGCACTAGGACCAGGACAGACCCTTGTGGGACTGCACTTGAAACCTCCTGCCATTCTGACATGGACCCATTAATACTCACGCTTTGCTTATGACTGTTGAGCCAGTTATCTATCTACCTTGAAGTAGATTTATCCAACCCACATTTCTCCAATTTGTTTGTGAAGGTTGTGTCAAGGTCATGACCTTATCAAAAGCCTTGTTGGAGTCCAGATATAGGCCATATCCACAGCCTTCCCTTCATCCACCCAAGTAGTCATTTTGCCAAATGAGGCCAGGTTTGTCTGACATGACTTGTTTTTTCATAAATTGATGCTGGCTGCTTGCAATCAGCCTTCTTCCTCCAGATGCTTGCACGTGGCCTCGCTTAGGATCTGCTCTGGTAACTGCCCAGATATTGAGGTGAGGCTACCTGGTCTATAGTTCCTTGGGTTCTCCTTCATGCCTTTAATAAAGAGGGGCACTGTGTTGGCCCCTTTCCAGTCCTCTGGTACACAGTCTGTCTCCCATGGCTTCATGGGACCCCAGTGCTCTTTCCTGCGCAGAGCAGGGGGTCAGACTCGATCTAATAGATCTCTTCCAACCCTAGAAATCTATGGAAATCATTGTCAAGGGCTCTGAGATCTCATCTGGCCCTGCTGGCTTGAATTCATTCAGACCCAACAAAAGCTTTCTGATAGTCTCTTTTATCATCTCCTCCCTCAGCTTGCCCCGTTCCTCATCTAGATAATCCTTATTAGGTGTCTGGTTGCAGCTTCATTTTGTTGTGAAAACTGAGACAAAGGAGCTGTTGAGTAGCTCCACCTTCTCTGCATCTTCAGTTAGGAGTTCCCTCTTGGTTGTTAACAGGGGGCCCACTTCCTCGGTCCTTCTTTTCTGGCCAAATAAAATTTCTGTAAGTCTTTGTGTTGTTCTTAAACTCCTTCGCCAGGTATAGCTTATTTTTTATCTTTGCCTTCGTGATTTTTGTCCCTGGCTATTTCCTAGTACAAATTCTTGGTGACCTGCCTATTCTTTCTTTGCCTGTATGCTTTCCTTTTGCATTTGACACATTTTAGAAGCTCCTTGGGCAGCCATATTGGTCTCATTCTTGTTGTGCTTCCATCATGTCGGGACAGTTTCTTGTTGGGCATCCAATACTGTGCCCCTTAAAAGGTTCCATTTTTCCTGGGTGCCTTTATCCTTCAATCTGTCCTGTCCTCCCACAATCTGTGCCTTTATCCTTCAATCTGTGTAGCAAGGTACTGGTGGTGCCAGCCACTTTAAGGGCTGGAGCAGGCAGCAGCCAGGCGCTTCAGTACAGTGGCAGTTTTGAAACCCAGGATATATATAGGGTGAAGCAGCAATTTGCGGCTGGCAGCCATGAGAGAGACATCAGCCAGCGGAGCTGAGGCTCAGGAATATCTTGGAGGTCTATGAGCTGGGTCTATGGGGATGGGGGAGCTCCAGGTCCTGGGCATGACCTAAAACTGCACCATGCCAGGGAAGGGAGGCCTGATGGGACTGCTGGTGGCGCAGGCGCAGGCCACCAGCCAGGCCAGTTACCTCCCTGGTGAAAAGCGGGTCGGGGGCACCTAATAATCTCCAGCCCCCGCACAGTCCTAGCTGGGGAAAGCCCAGGCCAGTGAGAGGCCTGAGGCTTACGTGATCCAGTGGATTTGAGGGAAAAAGCAGGCAAGCAGCTCAGGTTTGTCCCGAGGGACCACGACTGGCCCATGCTGGGGCCAGGACCCGGAGAGGGGTCGAAGGGCCAGGGGCCCACCACAAGGGATGCCCAAAGAGGCTTGGGGTCCTGACTGGCCTGATATGGGGCCACGGCCTAAGGGGGAGCTGAAGGCCCCAGGGAGGGGACCACATCTAATGGGGTGAAGGGTACAGCTGAGTTTAGCTGCCTGAGATGCCATCTGTAAGGCTTGGGCCACAGTGTAGGGGTGGAATGGAGTTGTGGAGATCCCCTTAAACATTGGGGTGCAAAATGGGCAGCCTCCCACTTAATTAACACCATAATAATGTATCATCAAGGTGTGGCAGGAGAGAGAGGTGGGTGGTTTTCCCAGAGACAGGTGGGCAGGCCAAAATGAAACTGGCCCCATGAAGGCTTCACCTGTTACACCATGACACCATGCCTGTTAGCTTCTTGAGTTGCATTAAATTCATCTTTTTAAAATCTAGCATCCTAATTTTGCTGACCTCATGCTTTCCCTGTCTTAGGATCTGAAATTGTATTGTATTATGATCTCTTCCTCCCATCACCTTCATATCGTTCAAGCAAGCTACCTGTTCAGGCAGGCATCTTCTCTGTCTCTGGTTTGCTTCTCTTTGACACTGACTGGTTCATGAAGCAGCTAGAAGTCTGTCCATCCTTTCTCCTGCCCAGCACTATCTGTGGGTCTTTTATGAATCTTCCCCTTCATATGTGCTTATTCTCTTCCAGTACTTGGTTTCCTTGTTCCACCTTTGATACCTTTCCACTTTGCCAGATTCCATCTTGCCAAACTAGTTTGGCCCATTGTGCGACTATTATCAATAGCCTTGGAGAGATGTAGGAAAGGCCTTCGCCACAGACTGGATACATATGAATAAAAGCACCCATGTTGCAAGTTTTCTTATCAGAGACTACACAAGGTAATAGCCAGTGTTTTCAGCACACCAACAGCCTACCCACTGGCATTCATCTGTCTGATCCCCATCTATAAAATAGGGATGATAATGTCACCTCAAAAAGTATTGCAAAGTTAAATGTTGTGAAGTTTTTGTGTACTGTAATGGTGAATGTCACTTGCATCTTTATGAACTTTCTATAATACTGCATTAAAGTGCAGGGGGTTGGATGATAGCATTAAATAAGGTGGGGAGTCATATGCATATCTGATATATAGACACTCTCTCTCTCTCTCTATATATCTATTGATATATATGTGTGTATGTATATAAACAGTTTCTTCATTCAGTGAGCACACCATCTGTCTTTTGCACTGAAAGAGAAGTGGCACCTATGAAAAAGCAGGTTGTAATTTAAGAATATCATAATGCATATGAGGACTGAACTGGACTTAGAGGCTGATGTAATGTTCTCTTAACATGCGTCCTTAAATGCATATTAAAAAAAACGCTTCCCCGACCAAGCTGTGCACATTCCCGAATCTCTTCATAGCTAGAGGCCTCCAACCCCAGCTCTTCTGCACTCTAGCTTCTCAATCAGTCAGTTTTACCTTTAATACCAGATGTAAAAGGCATACGGTCAGTGCTTCAGGTCACCAACTGTCTATCTGAGAAGTGTCTCGTATACCTGAACACTAATGTGTTTTCAATTTTCCTACTCCTTCCCCTTGTTCCATTCCTAGGTGGGAGAAATCATAAAGATCATGAAAGCCTACATCAACATGATTGTGAAGAAGCGCTGCAGCGTCAAATCAGCTGCCAGTCTGGACAGTCGTGCTAGTATTTGGACTAGGTGATAGGAAGGAACCCGCATTCCTTGAGGTGGAGGCACTTGTCCATAATTGGAGTTTGCAGCCTGTCAGTGGATGTGTAGCAAAGATATTTTAAAAAATTCCACTGGACAGCAAATAGAGGGAAGAACTGAAATCTGGTATCACCCATACAGTGTCACAGGAATTTCATTTCTGCCCAAAGACATTACATGGTGAGAAGTTATGGAATATGAACATTCCAAGACTTGTATTCCTCTTGCTTTCTTGAGGGACACTGTCTTTAAGGAAAGGCCATGAGCCTCCGCTTTTGCTGCTTTCATGATTTGTGTCATGTTCTGAAAAAAATAAACAGGGAACACTTTGCAATAGAGGAAGCAGGAAAGGGGTGTTTTTTGAGGCCATTTGTGGTGGTTTCAGAATTGGTCTACAATAAATGTGTTTCGTTTAGTTTGTAACCAAACTTACAGCTGCCTCACTAGGTGGTTCTCTCACCAAGACGTATCGATGAACTGATCTGTACTTAAAACACCTGTGTGCTGGCAGTATTTTCAAACCCAGGGAATCAGAATGATGACACAGCCTCCAAAATTAAAATTACAAAATAACGTAGGGTTTTTTTGCCTTCAGCAGAGATTAATATGTTCACGACTCCAGCAGTTGACACTTTAAGATAAGTACCAAATACTACAAGTACCAAATACAGCAATTCATGTGATAGACTATTGAGCAGCGGTAGTGCTGTAGTTGAAAAGGAACTGAAGCGGAGGGTGCAGCTACACCCCAAACTACTGAATGGTGCTACTGAATAGCTATTGGATTTGCCCTAAATAGACATGGGGGCATGAGTTTTATTTGGTTGCATTTTCAAGGAAGTTCTCTGTAGCCTTCCATTACCTTTCATTTGGGTTTTACCGATGTCTAGTTTTCAAACTAGACATCAGGAAGCGCTACTTCATGGTCAGGGCAGCTAGGATCTGGAACCAACCTCCAAGAGAAGTGGTGCAGGCTCCTACCCTGGGGGTCTTTAAGAGGAGGCTAGACAAACACCTTGCTGTGGTTGTTTGACCCCAGTACTTTTTCCTGCCATGGCAGGGGGTCAGACTTGATGATCTGCTCAGGTCCCTTCCAACCCGACCAACTATGATGCCATTGATGGTTTTGGAGGAAGTGGTGGTGCGCAGCATGCACACCATGCACAGATAAATTATACTTTTTCCTCTAGTTTTAATTGGACACTTCTGCTTCTTTCTGCACCCATTGCCCTCCACTAAGTTCTAACTGAAAGTTATTCCACCACAGCTGCTCAGCAAGCTTCCAGAAGCCAGCAGCAAAACTCGAAGGGAACACTTGTTTTTGCAAGGAAGGCTGTTTTTTGGAGGTTTTTTACAGTTGAAGATCCAGCTATCCCACGCAGTCTTTTAGCCAGCAGATTTCCATAGGGTCCAGGACCAAGATTTTTTTTTTTCCTCTGGTCACATAACTGTCTCTTTCCAGGGTCATACAAATATAAAAAGCAGTTTTAGTCCATCCTCAAGCCATACCCTGGTATCATTTATGAGTCATCCCTATCACACAACTCAAATGCTACCTGCCATTGAGAGAAATGGTCTGACCTACTGTAGCAGTTTCTTACAGTTCCCTCTTCCTCATCTCTGCATCAAAAAACACCCCAGGATCAGAATCAACAATACACGACTATCACAGCCAGCATTTTTCTTTCCCCTCCCTCCTTGCCAACATGCTCAGCACCTGTCCCTTGCTGCCACAACATTTTTTTAAAACTGAAACTTTGCCTTAAGCTTTACTGAAGAGTCTAACAGGGGCTCCAGTTTATCTTTTCCTATAGAAAAGGATCACTAGGTGACATTTTGGAACTGACAGGGAAGCAAAGGAGATGGGCAGAGTAAAACTGTTTGCATTGCATTAGGTCAAGTACACTAACTGGAACCGTTCCTTTACATATAACCACAGCTCTGATTCCCACTACCCTAGCCCTGCACTACTGGTATATCCTAGTTCTTGGGTTGCTGCAGGCAGCTTGAACCCACTTGGGAATGTAACTCCCAGTACTCCTTGTTGTAATTTACTTATTTCTATTACAGATTTCCTTCTGCTCTTTTTTAATTTGTAACTGGCTTTACAAGATGAAGGTTTAATAAATTATTGATTGCACAGCCTGTTTCCTTCACAGATGATTTGTGTTCCTGCAGAACAGCATCTTGACACACCTGCATGCAGATTTACGGTCCTGGGGTAAGAGAGAGGAACAGCAGCTTAGAAACAACATGAGCATAGATGTTATGTTGCCAAATAGAGGGAAACAGTTTGGAGAAGAGGATGTGCCAGGCCTTCCCACAGCTCATCTGAGCATTAGAATCACTTAGGTGGACACTGCAACTTCAGTTAATAGGAACTATTCCAGGATATGTTCTGGAGACCGGGGGGGTGGGGCATGTTTTCTGAAGCACTCTCGATGACACAGGAAGGAGGCACTGCAGAACCTGGTGCTAGAAACCACTCCCCATTTGCATATTACCAGGGCCCCTGCAATCACAGCACCAGCTCTGCTTTCCCACAAGCTGGACTTGATTTGTTGTCCTCTGCATCCAGGACCCTCTATCCTGGAAACACTCCCTCTGCCATGGCCCCCGGGGCTTGCTACTCCCTGGCAGAACCTGCCCATGGTGACTCACAGAGAAGTTGTGGAATCTCCATCACTGGAGATTTACAAGTGAGCTAGATAACCATTAGTCGGGGATTATCTAGAAGTAGCTGTGCCTGGCATGCGGCATGAAGAGCAGCAATTGGAAACTCAGGAGCCCTATGCATGCCACTGAGAGGTAACAAGAGTTCTGCAACCCAGAGCCGGTGGATCTTGGAGAGGCTCCAGAACAAAACACACTGCGCTGCAGAGGCCCTGGGGGAGGGCAACTGGGCAGGGAGCACAAGCCTGGAGCATGCACCTGCCCTGCCCCTGTCCCATACACAGTTTTGGGGGGGGGGCACACTGTGGGGTCACCCGTCCTTCAGGAGTGCATGCTGTGGTTGGGAGCTGGCCCCACCCCCTGCCCCCAAACAAGCCACCTGCGGTCTCATCCTGCTCCTCCCTCACCAGGGCTCTGAGGCTGTACAATGTGGCCATGGGCCCCAAGCCCCACACACTGCTCAGGGCAGCAACCCCAGCCTCAGCCCTGCCTAAATGCCTCCTTATGGGGGCCTCAACCCCTGCCCTGGGAGGGGCTGTACATGCATGTGGTGCCATTGCCTGACCACCCTCCTGCTCCTTCCCAACCCCCTGAAGGCTGGAGCTCTACCTGCCTGCCAAGGGCTTGCAGCAAAACTACAAAATCTGTGGGTTTCTGCTAAAATGAGAAATCTGCATTTATTCAGGTTACAGAGGTGAGCAGTTGAGAACAGGATGGGTTTCAATACGGACAAGTGCAAGGTGCTGCACCTGGGGAGGAAGAACCAGCACCGTACCTACAGGCTGGGGAACTCCCTTCTCATCAGTGCAGAGGCAGAAAAGGATCTTGAAGTCACTATTGATGCCAAGATGAACATGGGCAGGCAGTGTGGGGATGCAGTCAGTAAGGCCAACTGCATGCCAAGTAAGGCCAAGGAGGCGATCCTCCCCCTCTATGCGGCACTGGTCAGGCCGCAGCTGGAGTATTGCGTCCAGTTCTGGGCGCCACACTTCAGGAGGGATGTGGACAACATGGAGAGGGTCCAGAGGAGGCCATTCGCATGGTCAGGGGGCAGCAGGGCAGGTCCTACGAGGAGAGGCGACGGGACCCCTGTTCCCCCAAGCGCTACTGGGGGGTAATGAGGAACCATGACCATAAAGTAACGGAGAGTAGATTCAGACGAGATATCAGTGTCACGCGCGGATCAGTGGAGCTGGTGGGTCCCTTTCCCTTTGGGCGGGGGGGTTTGCAAAGGAGGCAGCTAGACACACGTAATGGTTGCAAGATTTTTGTTTTCGTTTTACTTACACATCTGCAGAATGGACGCATAGGCACAAGTCAAAACAGGTAACAGATAGCAGTTGCATTGCATTGTGCGATCCAAGTTCAAGATCGGAAATCGACAGAATCTGAAAACGACAGAAATCGACAGCTGCGGAGACCCTCTCGATACAGAGATGAACGTGGTCTTAACGAGTGCACTGGGAAGGGGTACGCCAGGGCAATTTCGTTGGCGGAGAAGCACGTCAAGGCTGGCCAAGCCTGGGCGGGGAGGAAAAGTTCCTCCTCAATGCGCTGACGAGCGCTGCTTCTGCTGGGTGGAAGCTTGCACATGGATTTTATAGGCCTAATGACATGTCTAGCATCACAGTAATGGATTGGTTAATTCTTCCTGCCTGCATTTGGCACGCGCAGGAACAAAGTAACAGAAAAAACAAGGGGTCTCCGAGGGTGGGGAGAACTAGCTCAGGTGCATGCTGCACAGTTTTGCAGGTTTGTGCTGACGGCACAGCTTTTTTGCACAAGACATGCCCCCTTGCCATCAAGCACAAACATCGACGTGCTAGACCTCGTCCTCATTCTCTGGGTTGAGAGACTCACTAAACGGCAAGCGTGTATATACAAAAGCAGATAGGGTTATTAACTTTTTCTTTAGGAACTGAAATACGCAACAAACACAAGAAATTACTATTACAAGTATAAACAAGATGGTTAACAACGGGGTTAACAGGTTTACAAGCTGAAGTGTCCCACCCAGCCCAATTAAAGATGCTGGATAGCCAACCTTGGCCAATTCCGGATGCTGCATTCGCTTCTTTGGCCAATTGGTGGATCTTAATTACTTGCTTTTCGAGAGGTAAAGAAACATTAGGGATAGCAATACAGCACAGTTTGCGGGACAAATTGAGAAATTGGCAAAGTCCACCTTCATGGATTAGCATGGCGTCAAGTGCAAGGCAGTTCTGTAGACTCATATGTGAGGTTGCTTGCAGTTGTTGGTTTATCATCGTGAGGGAATCGGCTGTGGAGTTTGCTAATCTTTCTATGGTTTCAGCAAAGGAGGCTAGCTGAATGCGGGCTCTCGCAAGGCCTACGCCCCACAGGAGGAAAGTCTGTAACCGACCATGCGAGCTGTTGGCGAACCTTGTCACTGAAGGTGAGTTCGCTCCACGTGGTTTGATGGGTCAGCAAGCAGGCGCGTCTTCACAGTGTTGGGCTCAATGGGCGGGCGGTATCAGCCTGCAAGGGTGGACAAAAACTGACAAAGCTTAAGAAACACTGGATGCCAGAAAGAGTGGCCGGTAGTTTGGTACACAACCGACCATCGTTACAGGCCCAAACGAGGCCTATCGGGGTGGGAGTACTTAAATCAGAACAGTGACCCCCGAATTGGAAAAGTTGCTCAGGATACTGTTCACTCCTGTCGTCCACAGGACTTTTGACTCCGTGACAAGCTGCAGTAAGTACTGCTGCTCGGAGAAGGGGATAATAGAATCTAAAGTAAGAATCACTGCCAAAACTACCGGGGGCCGTTAGGTTAATGGACAGGGAGGTGTTCCATTGAACTATGGGCGAAGGGGGTCGTAAGAGGAAGACGAGTGACGACAGCTACAAACCCGGGACCAGGTGTCAGGGAAAGTGACAAGAACCAAGGAGGTGTAAGGGAGTGGGGGTCCCATGTAAGTGAGTCATCAAGATGAGACTCCTCACTATTCTCTGGGTTGAGTCCCCAGGGGATTCTTGAACCAGGATATTGATGTAGTTGTCGGCTTGTAGGGAGGCTCTCCCAAAAGAGTTCGGCTACACTCTTTCTTCTCAACATTGCAAAGGTCTGAAAGTGTCATGTTGAGCTTCCAGGTATACTGTATAGTGCCAAAACTACCGTCATCAAACGGGCCTTGTGTAAAGTTAATGGAAGGGCTCGAGCTTTGTAAGACTCG